AACAGAAAGATGTATCTGAATGTAAATGAGTGAAATTTTTAAACGCCCATCTATTTAATTCCCTTAGTATTGTTTTATTTGAAGCTACCCATTGATGTTTAGGACTGCAATTGATCAGTCTCTTATTGGCATATATACCTACTGTGGGTATTGCCTCGATATTGCCTTAATTTACAAGCATTATAAGCAAAGATGGATAGTGACTAGCAGTGGAATCCAGGACGTGCGTTTCATCCTATTTCAGACTCGTCAGCTAGATGTACCTGAATCTCAGAGTTGATGTTCACAAGCAAGTGACTATCAGGACTCAGTAGCTCAGTGGATAATGCGATGGCGTTTGGAGCGAATGGTACAGAGTTTGAGTCCCAAAGTGAACATCAACTGCGAGATGCATATACATCCAGCTGAGTCCCAAATAGGACGAAACGCGCGTTCTGGATTCCACTGCTAGCCACTATCCATCTTTGCTTATAACGCCCATCTATTTGCTTAAAATATTCAAATAAGAAGAAATCGAAAACTTTTTTCTTTATGAAATTTATATTTCAATGTAAAATTTTCTTATTAGTAATTTTAGAATATAAATTTAAAAATTTTCATTTTCAATATTAATATTGCATAAATAAGAACTTTCGTCTAAATTTGATCGAATAGTTTCATAGTATTTGGGCGGCGAGTTAATGTGAGACATTAAAGAGGAAGATTGTGTTTTCTAAAATCTCAACGAAAGAAGTTGAAGTAAATCCAACGTTTCTCCTGACAATCTGGTCTCAGCTTTTTCAAGGATTTCCAGGCGAAACTTTGGATTGACTTCAAATTCTTTCGCTGAGATTTTACAAATATTTTCTTCTTTATTAATATCGCTTGTTTAAATAAAATAGACAAATTTTATTTTACAGTTTATCAATTTAGATAGATTTTAACACTTAAGTTATCGGTTTGTAATTATTAAATAGTTGATTGTCTTTATTAGTGAATATTAATACATGTATTCAGTAAGCTCAAACTGAAGCATTTGATTTTTTATTTAAAGTATCAATTAACTAGCCTGTATAAGAACCTCAGTACAAGTAATTAGTGACCAAAGTAGGTTTCTATGCTATTCGATCCCTTAGTATTTTAAAACCCATGTTAACCACTGGTTTCGAATTTGGGCATAATAAATTTCTGAATTGAATCTACTTTGTTATCCATCTCAGTCCCATATGTGACTATGCATTTCTTCAATCTCCGTTTAATAAAAGCACTTTTCTGACAAAGATTACACACATCCGAATGTGTAAGAACATTTAAAGGGGCTTTCTCATCCAATTTACAACACGGTGCTATAGGGCAAATGATGGCTGTTTAGGGTTAAGGTATCATACCTCACTACAGCCCTAGGCATCATGCAGTCCAGTTGTTTGAGACGTTATCAATTATGGTCATAAATGAAAGCTAATTAAGGTCTAGCCTTGACTTTTATTTCATTCTTTAAATAAGTGAGGTGAACATTTTTAGCAAAATAAAAATTATCCTATTTGTGTTTTTGATTAAAGTGTGTTCTTTTAGTATGTTCTCTTTTTATTCGTTTACTTACTGAGTACCTTTAACCATAAATTTAGTTTAACATTCACGGCCAAGTCATTAATACTGATTTTATGATACAAAATGACTTCAGTGTAATACACAGGCTTAACTTGAACAACCAATTCCTTTTTAAACACCGTTATATTTGGCAGACGTTACAGCCGTCTGATTAAATTTGATTTAAAATAGTTTAGTTTACACCACGTGAACTTGTAAAAGCTGTTCGTTCATTGAAGGGGCAACTAACACGAGATCAAGATAAGTAGGAAATCAGCTGTTGTAATGTATTAAATCAGTTCACCTTTGTTTATAAACACACTATACAATTCCTAATTCAGTTAAAATTACCAAGTTATAGTACTCATATCTGAACTTTATGTTTAGATCAATGTTTTAATTTAGATGACTAATTTACATTTTAATTAAGGACAATTCTAAAAATCTTTACTAATGAAAATATCTGAGATAAAAAAAATCAAAACAACTGTTGAAAACAAGAAGGAACTTGACGACTATTTCTTCCTAGTAGTAGGCCTCTAGTAGCGACCTTCTAAAACTCCATCGCGATCAAGCACGAAAACTTCAGTTATCACTGAGACAGTTTAACCATTAGATAAGACATTAGAATTTGGGTTTCTAAATTAAGGAGTCATTTAAAGAGATAATGCATTGAAAACGTCACTCCTCAAATTATGTAACCATTTAAGATAAGACCCTGAAGAACATAAAGATGTTACTAGTGTAGGATAAACCACAGATGTATTTCTCATGAAACGTCTTAATTATAGAATCGCTTGTGCTTTCCAAATATCTGTATAAATGATTGTCAAAAACAAAATCCCAGTGACTCCAAATGCTTAAGAGACGAGAAATTAGTTACATTCGGAGCAACTGTATATCCTGACTACAAAGTACTTCTGAGGATGTTTTAAGAAAACGGGATTTGTAAATTGCCATAGATCAGTATTCAAGAGGATGAAAAGCAAAAATTACGGCAAAGGGATCTCTTTTCAACGAATGTATTATCAAACTTTACAATTATATATATTGATTCTGTGAGCTCATTTGAACCATAAATAAACATGATGAAGTGATAGAAAGATTACGTAGTGTAAACAATAACAATAAAAGTGTGTGTGTATGTGGAAATATAAAGCCTTACAAACTTAAAAAGTCAACAATGACTGGTATTATGAAGGGAGCGAGACAGTTTTTGTTACACTAATTAAAGATAGGTCCCCAAATGCCCTGATACGGCCGAGAGTGGGGAGAGTCCGCTCTCCCTCTCGAAATGCTCTCACATGGCCATGCGTATATAGCCTCTACCAGGGAAGTCCTACTCACTGCCTCCACGTGGCGGGGGTGTTGTTTACGAAAATGAGATGACGAAAAGCGAATTTCCGGCGCTTTAACCGGACCCCAAACCAATGGTGCACATGGGCTCCAGTATCCTGAGGGAACAAATGGCGTATGAACCAGTCGTTGGTCACCGACTACCATGGGACTGCATCTCCTTACGATGCTCCACTGCCTTGTGGGTCAGACGTTTAGGTCAAAGGCTCGGGGTGTGATCCCCTGGGAAAACCACCTGCTTCGGTTTAGGCACCCGGGCAGTATCACAGCCCTCACACAAATCAATTGAGATCTGTGTGGCGCATATGTATTTGGTGCCTCCTTGTACCAATATCTGTGTTAAAATAATAAATAATAATAATTAAAGATATTCGAGGGATTAAATGAAATAAAGTGATGTGAGAAACAATTATGAATAGATTTATGGGGATATGAGAAAATATTAAGGGGTGAGAAATACTATCAAACACGAAATCAATGGAACTAAAATGTGAAAATAGATCAAGACCACTATGGAGATAACGATAAGAATACTTGTTTTGTACGTACAGTTCCGGTTTCGTTTCATGGATGCTAAAAGCTTCTGATGTTTTAAGTAGTTGAGCATGAAGAAGTTTGAGTAGATTTGTACGTATTCTATAAACAACCTGTATATAAGTGAAGCGATTTAGATCGAAATTTGAAGGAGACCGAACTTCTAATGAGTTAAAAAATCGACTATCGGCAGCTGTGGAAAGAGCTTTCTGTGCGGAAAAGCTGAGACCAACATTCAAAAAACAGAAATTTATTTTATGTTTCCATAAGTGATGAACTCTTTCATCTGACCGATTTCATGTGCGTCTGCCAGTTTACCTGCTCTTTTGAAGTAATGTACATATGTTGTAGCTTGCTCTTGCTTTCAATTCGAGTACGAGAACGTATTCCACTTTGATTCTACAAAGGTCAGAGAGAAGCACTGACAATTTCTATTCTTCAACATCTCATTTATTCTAATCACTACAGATTGGTTTTATGGTTGTTTATGGAATACGTACAAATCTACTCAAACTTCTTCATGCTCAACTACTTAAAACATCAGAAGCTTTTAGCATCCATGAAACGAAACCGGAACTGTACGTACAAAACAAGTATTCTTATCGTTATCTCCATAGTGGTCTTGATCTATTTTCACATTTTAGTTCCATTGATTTCGTGTTTGATAGTATTTCTCACCCCTTAATATTTTCTCATATCCCCATAAATCTATTCATAATTGTTTCTCACATCACTTTATTTCATTTAATCCCTCGAATATCTTTAACAGAAACGTTTTAACTGTCTCACTCTCTTCACATTACAATTCATTGTTGACTTTTTAAATTTGTAAGGCTTTATATTTCCACATACACACACACTTTTATTGTTATTGTTTACACTACGTAATCTTTCTATCACTTCATCATGTTTATTTATGGTTCAAATGAGCTCACAAAATCAATATATATATATATATATATATATATATTGATTTTGTGAGCTCATTTGAACCATAAATAAACATGATGAAGTGATAGAAAGATTACCAATTCTCCACAAAACCCATTCTAGTAATAATCATCTGCTCACTAGTGACTGACTTCAAGAGATACTCCTGGAGTTCTAGTGAGAAGCCGTGACCAGTGGAGTTCAACCAGGTCTGTTGTGAGATATCAGCTCACTGAAGACAATGGTGACGGTGGCGCAACTTCGTGGATTAGTTGAAGTTAGACATTAACACCGTTGGATGCCGGCTCAGTGGTCTAGTTGGTTAAGCGCCTGGCGCGAGACTGATAGGTCCTGGGTTCGAATCCCGCGGGGTGCGGGATCGTGGATGCGCACTGCTGAGGAGTCCCATACTAGGACGAAACGGCCGTCCAGTGCTTCCAGGTTTTCCATGGTGGTCTAGCTTCAATTGATTCATGATTTCAACTATATATATATATATATATATATATATATATATATATATATATATCCCTTCGCTGAATTTCGTGTTTCAATTTCGAATTACGTCTTTTCAAAAATCGATATGCTTTAGTTTCTGTAAAATGTAACTTTGATAATCTCAATTTAAGTATTTATTGGGAAGATTAAATACAATAACAGAAATTATCCGAATAAATAAAGGCAGTTACTCAAATCTAGTTTACTACTAATAATTATTTAGTGTACAATCAAAATGATTATCTAATCAAGAAACTACTGACACCTTCATTTACTTAACTTTGAATGATCACTTTTATGTATTACGACTGTCAATACTCTTTGGTTTTCCCAACTAAAATAACTACATAACAATTTAAATATGCAACTTAAAGTTTGATAATTTAGTATTTTACCTGCTAACTTGATCATCAAGATATCTAACACAATATAAGCGTACATATACACAAATGATTGACGTACCTGTATTCTTTACATATGTATAAATTATCAATACTTTTCTTTAAAAAAGAATACGTTTATGAAAATGGTCTAAAAAAGAAATATAGTCTATGCACAAAATGTTTACTATTACACATAAACAAGGAGGTACACTTAGAATTTTAAAACGATATTAATTCATATAAATGAAAAAGTATTATGTCAATACTTTTAGAAGAAATAAACAAAAAACAAAAAGAAAAGAATTATGATTTCACTAGTTTAAAGATTGTATCATAATTTCATAACATCGAAAATTAATTATATTAAATGTATACATTCTCGTTTTATTTGTCATTGTAAAAAATATACTTTTTACATATATCTTTGTAATATTTAGGATATTGTCAGCTAATGGTTGAAAGAACCAAATAATATAGATGAATCTCATTCATGTTTTTTAATATTTCCATTTGTATGAATGTCTATTGAACTGTCATCGGTCTATGTTAAAAGAAACAGAAAGTACGTACGTTAAGTGTAGAAATGCAAAACAAAACAAGAGATTACTTCAGTACACAAACATATACAAATTTCGAACCCAGGACCTATCAGTCTCGCGAGAGAGCGCTTAACCATTAGACCACTGATGATTAACATACACACAATAGTTAATAATCAGTGACTAATCAACACGAATATCTCAGTCAGTTAAGGAGGTTGATCGTCGCCCGAATAGCTCAATGGTAACAATTCAGACTCATACTGTGTGATGATAGCCCAAATCCCACATATCATCCACCTCACAATTATAGGTATCCCCTGCTAACAAGTGCCAGCCAGCACGGAACCTAGGACTAATGTTTTCTGTTGATTCCCTCCAACCATACAATATTTGTGCAAGGGAATAACCCAGACAAATGAAAAAGTAGATACTTTTTCATACGAAATGAACAACTAACGGTTGTGATACAGTTGTTGATACATTTGTATAAAATCAATAGAATTAGTACATCCATTCAATATAAATAATAATTTAAAACTCAATTCGCAATCAATACGAATATTTTTCTATTCATTTAGTAATTATGTTCATGATTTACGTAATAATAAAAAGATTTATTCACAAAAGTAGCTTCAGCATGGTTGAAATGTATTGTAATTCATTCATAGAAAAAAGCCCACAGCTGAAGCTCCATGTGATACTTCACATGACACTCTTCTCATTAAACGTTCAACCTTGGAGATCTGAAAGCACTTAAGTTCTAGTGTTTACACCATATAACACCATAACAAAAATGCAATAGTTACGAAATTTCAGTAGAAATAGGCATATGAGCAGAGAGATGAAGACAAGTATTGGTAGACCGATACGATGTATTCTAGACACAAGAGAAGTTAGTTGTTTCACAGGATTGTGATTAATTCTAATTTAGAGCACTTTGAAATATTAATCACTGAATTCCAGTGTCTCGAAACCAGAATCCATATAACTTGGAATTCCCTTTGTGATTGAGGTTAAGAGATAACAATTAGCCTAGGAAGTTAAGACTTTCTCACTCATCATTACAGTTCAGTTAGCGATAAATGTCTACATCTAATAAAAGTGCCTAACTGAGTGTTCGCCGTAAAATAAAGCGCTAGCGGAATATTTTTATCGATTGTTACTTGCTTTTATAACTTCAAAGTAATTATATTCATTGTTATTAGAAAGTTACGGAGAGAGTTCTATTCGTGAAACAAATAGAAAGCCCTAAACCTAGTAGTTTTATTTTTTAACAAAACACATTCACCGGGCATAGGTTTATTTATTTAGCTGGATGTTACACTTTTTATAAGCTCTGGTGATTCTAACAAGCTCCGTAATACTTAAGTGAGAATAATATCTCTGACCTAACGGTTGTAAACCGAGTTTTGGCTACTAGACCATGACTGCATTAGCGACGATTCACACCTGTTTGAAATAGTTATGTGAAAATTATGTTTGAAATAATCACGGCGAATGAAATTTAAATAATTTATATAATAAATATAATGACTTCTCTATACTCAGTGCACAATTTTTGTCAAACTATTCGCTTTAATCTTGACGAATAATCGTATAGATGTATGTGCTGTCTCCCATAAATTCAGTCGTTAGTGATAATATTAAAGACTACTAATTCATATGAATGCTGATCAGTATTAACCTACTTTCACTATCCTAACTGCTACATGAAATGTGAAGACTCAGTGATTATCACTATTTTACACAAACGCACACAATGAATGTACGTCAATGAAGTCAATTTATAAGGGTGTTTCAAGCTTCTTTCATGTTACACATAATTCGCACAATTCGAATGACTGAAGTGCATCCATTGTAAAGGGAATAAACTTTAGGTATTTGAGAAAACGAGCAACCACTCACTAACAGTTCTCGTGAAAGCTATGTATATTAAACAATTGCAGTTGTAATAAATAAATAACTTTCTAGAATGTCACATAAACTGTTACTATTTACACCGAGAAATGATGTCAATCAGATAATATCAACAAACACTTCATCCTTTATATTGACCAATATGAACAACGGTATACAAAATTTCAACAGGAAAAAATTCCTAAATATTAGATCAAGAAACAGAACTAGCTAACTAACCAATGACATCAAAGGTCAACCAGTTATACGGTCAAGGGCTATAATAGCTTAAAATTCAGACAGGAAATGTAAAATTCATACAACGATAACAATTTCTTACGACAACCAATCATAAGTAAGGTCATAGGAATATAAACTTATTTGGCATATGTAGAGGTTAAATAAACAGACTCATTTAATTACTTTATAACTGCAGTTGATAAAACGCTACAATTAATACGATTTTTATCAAAGAAATTCCTTTCCTTTGAAATGATTGGTATTTCATATCATGCATACAGTCTACAGTATACTGAAATGATTTTCATTCATAATTTGTTCGCTTAATCTCGTAACGTAATATTTTCCATATGTAGATTAATAAATATTGCAAAATGGGACGTTTATAGAGAAATACACTTAGGAAAAATATTAATTTTTTCTAGTTTATTTCATTTTCTCTAACCTGTTATAAGTCGTCAGGGCACTGTTTATAAATGTCATAATTAGTATAATCTTAAATAATTAGAGTAGTGTATCCACGTTAGGATAGGAAGCCAAAACGTGTTCAAGATTGTTTTTTTATTATTTATATTATCCATTAGACTAGATGTATAAAATGAGTCATACGACCTAACTTTAAAGGAAATGTATAAAAGTAATCAATTTTATAGTGAAAAAATCTATATATCTTCCTTTCTTTCCACCTGTGCATATTCATCAGTATATTTTAGTTATACAATTCTGTGCCTGTTCAACAGAAAATACGATAAAAACTGTTTTTTTCTAAAAAAAATTTTATCTCGAATTGAACTTTCCACTGACAAACTAAAATTTCTCTAAGAGATTGTCGTTTAACAGTGTGACAAACGTTATTCTATCAAGAAAAAAGCTAACTACACTTGAGGGATATAAGTGATAACTCCGTCTGTAGCTCTACTAGGATCGGGCAACAACAAAGGAAGAAGCTACAAGAGAAGGAAATATGAAAAAACAATATGACATGACGAAGAAACTGGTAAGGAATTATAGTAAACCAGAGAGACCAGTCAAGGACAATGAAGGCTAGACAATCACTGAGATTTTAGAACAGAGGAACAGATGGGTAAGACACTTAGAGGAATTCTTGAATAGATCAGCCCCATTGAATTCACCGGATATCTAAGCAACACACACAGACCTTTCTGTAGATATCACTCTACTAACGATTGAAGAAATCAGGACGGCCATCAGACAAATCATGGATGGGAAAGCAGCTGAACCTGACAGTATACCAGCCGAAACACTGAAGTAACTGCAAACATGCTCCATATTCTATTCAAGAAGATTTGGGATGAAGAACGAGTGCCAACAGATTGGAGACAACGATGACTCATTAAGATACCAAAGAAAGGAAATCTGAGCAAATGTGAGAACTTGTAGTGTTGGTTGCTATGTAAAGCTCACATAGCTTATTCTAGCTCCCGAACAGGCCAATTTATTCATTCTTCTTGAGTCACATTTTAACCTTGTTAATTATTCACGTAACAACCTTGACTGATTATAAATATCGATCCACACTTGGTTAAATCGAGTTGGTTTACATGCCTTCTCCACCGCGCGCCGTTTCGTTTCGCTCACATCTCTGATCGTTAGTCTGGATCAAAAGTCGTATGAAATATACATATTCAAATGCATTCTCGTATCTGACTTATTTAATTCCGTTATTCACCAACGCGAATCAAATCGATAATTGTATACAATGATCGGCGCCATGAATATTTTAATAACACTCATTCATACGATTATATTGAAGTTAGATAAGGAATCATAAAGATCTACCGAGGCATCGCACTACTATCGGTACCAGAAAAAGTTTTCAACAGAATGTTGCTGAACCGGATGAAAGATTCAGTAGACTCCCAACTTCGAAATCAACAGACTGGATTCCGTAAGAATAGATCGCGACACTACGGATCATCGTTGAATAATTAATTCAATGGGATTCGTCTTTATACATCAACTTCCTTGACTATGAGAAAGCGTTTGACAGCGTGGGTAGGGGAACCTTCTTTGACACTAGTGTACCGAAGATGATCGTCGACATCACACGGAATTCACACGACGGATTACAGAGCAAAGTCATGCATGGAGGACAGCTGACAGACTCATTCTAAGTGAGAACTCGAGTTAGACAAGACTGGTTACTCTCTCCCTTTTCTCTTTCTTCTGGTGATTGGCTGGATTTTAAAGAACTCCGCATATGGAAGGAAGCACGGAACACCATATATAACTTGCATGCAACGAGAAAATTTGGACTTCACAAATCACCCAACCCTTCTATCACATACACACTAACAAGCGTAGGTCAAGACAACCAGTGTGGCAGAAGCTTCTTAATCAGTAGGCCTCAATATATACAAGAGAAAGACCAAGATCCTCAAATACAAAACGGAGAACACCAACCTAATCACACTTGATAGAGAAACCCTGAAATAGGTGGAAATTTTCACGTCTTGGACAGCACCATGGATAAACAAGAAGGATCTGATGCAGACGTAACGGTGAAGATTGGCTAATGAAGGGTAGTATTCCTACTATTGTCTTACAAATATGTCTTAAATCTATAGGTTACTTAAGTTCCTTACGGTTAGCATATTTAAGCCATGTAGCCTATTTTTTAACAGTATTTATTTTTCTCATTCACATTCGGTTCTTGTGGAGAAAATATCGATCGGTGGAAATATTTCAGTGGCAAAGATAAAATATTAGAAAAAAAAACGACGAAAAGCATTCACATAAACATGTACTTACTGCTTTACATAACTTTGGGTTTTTCGATTTATGATATGCATGGTGATAATGATTATAGAAAAGCAATAGAAGACTGGCTTGGTAAAACACATTGATGTAATATACAAATTCTTTCAAACCACATTGGTGGTAAAGTGAAATGTAGGAATAAAACACTCCATAGCTAAATTGGATCTATATGAGTATAAGATGGAGAAAACAAGTGTAAAATGGAATCATTCTACTCTTTTTCTAAAAAAATACTTAGAGAAAGAAAAATAATTATATATATTGAAAACTGAAAGTTCCTATTCAATAAATAGCTTCGATTGGTTACAGCCGTTTAACTTACAGTGGATATGATTTTGAGAGAAGCGAAAAATTTATAACTCAAAATGAAAAATAGAATTGTGTTTTGATGGTATTGGCTAGAAAGACGATGAAAACTTCACAACTAAACTACCTAACTAACAGTGCGAATTCCTCAGAATTGTAGTTCATACCTTGTACCAGTCATTTGGTTTGGTATCTGAATCGAAAATACACTCTACATCTAAGCAAAAACTCATTTACTAGACGCTAAGTCACATGTATTTTATAAGAATTGGAATCATTGTCTAAGATAAACACCGAGTTATACCTGAAGATCTACCAGGTAAGTTTCAGTTATTTAAACCCCTGAATAAATTCGGCTGCTAAGAAAATAAAAAAATTACTGATTAGCGAAAATTTACTATTGTTTACCGATTATCAAATAAAAACTTCTGGTACCATATGTAACCAGCTGATGTTAGTTGGAAAATCAGAAGGCACTAGATAGTTATTTTCTCCTAGTGTGGTGGTCCTTCAAGAGATCAAACCTAAAACCTTTAAACTCGCACACGAAATGGTGAAACCACGGATCCATAGACCCGGAGAGTCCCATTTTAAAAAGAACTAGCCATCCAGATCTTTTTCTTTAAAGATTGTCTAAGATCAGTTGGTGATCCATATTGTGAAAATCCAACAACCTCCTTCTAAATTTATTATTTATTTATTTTAACACATAGATATTGGTACAAGGAGGCACCAAATACATATGCGCCACACGAATCTCAACTGATTTGTGTGAGGGCTGTGATACTGCCCGGGTGCCCAAACCGAAGCAGGTGGTTTTCTTAGGGGAACAGTCCCGGAGCCTTCGACCTAAAGTTCTAATCCAAAAGTCAGTGGAGCATCGTATGGAGGTGAAATCCCATGGTAGTCGGTGACCAACGACTGGTTCATACGCCATTTGTTCCCTCAGGATACTGGAGCCCATGTGCACCATTGGTTTGGGATCTGGTTAAAGCGCCGGAAATTCGCTTTTCGTCATCTCATTTTCGTAAACAACACCCCCGCCACGTGGAGGCAGTGAGTAGGACTTCCCTGGTAGAGGCTATATACACATGGCCATGTGAGAGCATTTCGAGAGGGAGAGCGGACTCTCCCCACTCTCGGCCGTACCAGGGCATTTGGGGGCCCTTCTAAATACCGAAAGGTGGTACTGTTTGCCGAAAATGAATCCAAAGAAGGGAAAGAAGAATAAAGTACAAAAACGTTTCTTTAAGTATACAAATTCTTTATATTCACCCATGAACTATATAATAATTTCATGTGACTTCATTTGCTTGAGAGAAAATTGATATGAAATGATTAACCAAATAACGTTTTTCAGTTCAAATTTATTTCATATAATCAGTTTGAAGTGATCAACAAACTTCTAACGCATCTATTTTGCAGTTTTTATTTTTTCTCTTAGTTTCTTGCCTTAGAGTTTCGTTGTTGGATATATATACACTTAAATTGTACTTTGATAGTAATCAAACAAAATTAATAAATTAACACTAAATTGACCTTCTGAATACAATGTATACACCTTTTGCCCAAGGGTTAATTGATGGTCTAGGATAAACGCACGAATTTTACGATCTATTGGCATTTGATAATGTGAAACGTGTTTATGTACAATTTCAACCATATAGTATAGTCCGCCAAATATACACATCAGATAAGATATCCCATTTTCTAAATGGTTAAATGTTATAAAATAAGATATAGTAATTGTTTATCACCAAGAAAAAATGTGGTACACAAATGTTAGCTTGTTTTCAAACAAATAAAAAAATAAACAAACCATTTGTAGCATTGTTAGGTAACGTTTCCACCATAAGTATTTTCTCCATTTGGGTCCAAGAGCTGCAAATGCATAATAACTATACATAATCACATGAATCGTGCAGTTGACTGCGACAGGTTGAAATATTTCACCCCCAGCTACCCATTTCACTCCAGCCCATGTTATCGGAATCATTGTACAATGGTGATAGACATGTAACCATGTGACAAGATGTGTTCGACCACGAATTATAAAAAAGAATGTATCTAAACATTCTATCACTTTTGATATATGAAATAACCAAATAGCTCGAAGTAACTGTAAAGCAAAATAGAAAAGAGAAACAATTTCATATGTTACTTTCTTATTTCAAACAAAACTAGTCGATAACTTATAGTCATGAAAATAGTTTTGTCACTACAGACTGATCTTGGTTGAAGAACTAGTGAGACAAAAGAGCATTGGATAAATAACCTGTTATGGTCTCAACTCCTTTGAAGGTGCATAGATCAAACACGGTCACTACTTCGATACTCATTTAGTTACTAAGACCAAATCATATATTTTGACTTACATTTTTCATCTTCTATAGCTCACTATCACCTGATGAGTAACTGTCATTTATATTACCAATTAAATATTCTGTAGATAAATTACGGCTTTATTTCTCTACTATACATTTAGTTGTTTGAGAAATGGTTGTTCTTTTCTAATATTTATTCAGCCACAATTTGAAGCTAGAACTATTTGATTGTATGTATATGTATGTATGCCCCCGAATGCCCTGGTACGGTCGAGAGTCAGCTCTCCATCTTGAAATGCTCACACATAGCCACGTGCATACAACCACTGCCTACTTGCAGCAGGGGTGTTGTTTATGAAATTAAGAGGACAAAGGCGAATGTCCGGAGCCTTAACCGGGTTGGTAAATACGGAGGATCTACTAAGCAGAGTTGAAAAACCCTGATTCCAAATCAATGATGTACATGATTTCCAGGATCCCAATGAAATAAATGGCGTATGAATCTATTGTTGGTTACCGGTTATCATGGGACTGCACCTCCTAAAGTTGCTTCACTGCCTTGCGGATTAGACCTCTAGGTCAAAGGCTTCGTGCGTGGCCTACTGAAAGAGCTATCTGCTTCGGTTTAGGAACACGGGCAGTATGCCAACCCTCACATAAATCGAATGATTCATGTGGTGCGTATCTATTCGCTGCCTCTATGAACCAATGTTTATGTTTAAATAAATAAGTATTTATGGTGGATAGCTGTTTGTATCACTTCAGCACTCATTTGAGAAATAATTCCAGCAATCTAATCATTTTCTTCTAGTGTTTTCTCAAATAAACTGATAAAATGAAGTCTTTTGGTCGACTGCGCCGATAACTTCACTTAAGTTGGAAGTCTGATCAGTGCTAATGGGTTAGTGCCTGATGAAATCACTACACAGATCCAAAAAGCTCGTTTAGCTTTTGCAAATTTACTTTACCTATGGTGAGGGCGAAATATCTGTCTATCAACTAAAGGACGAGTATATGGAGCGGCAGTTCGTTCCGTTCTACTTTATGGCTGCAAAACGTGGTCATTAAGGGTAGAGGATAATCGTAAGTTACTAGTATTTGATCACAGATGTCTTAGAAATATTGCTCGCACCTACTTGGATCACCGGATAAGTAATAGTGAAGTTAAGCACAAGGTATTAGTAATGGTGGTAAATCAGTTCATAAGGTTGTGAAAATCCACCGACTAAGGTAGTTGGGACACGTACTACGCATGCCCAACCACCGATTATCATGGTGCGCAATGCTGATTAGTGTTGGAGATGGATGCAAGAAAGTTAGGGGCTACCAAACCAAAACGTGGCATCAGTCCATAAAGTCACTAACTTCTGATCTGAGCCGTGTTGGGAAATGCAGACTACTTAGTTGGGGGCCGTGCGACTATCGTAAGCAGTAGTTGGAGACTGTGTGACATGGCTCAGAATCGATCACAATGACGTAGGTGTGTACACTCTTTGTCTGCCCTAAAACAATGAGATTAAAATTGCTTTATATCTTGCTTTCTACGAACTAATGCCTTATCTCTGTATCATATGTTTATATGCAATCTTTTTTAATGTATTAATGCAATTGAAGTAACTACTTCTATGAATTTGGTACTTGTCTTGTTGTGCTAATGAGTTATGGCAACTTGGACCGATGCATATATGTGCCTGGTTCTGTGCTGTAGATGACTGAGTGACTTCTGAAGATAAAAGCCTATACTTGGCCATTGAAATGCACCAACGTTGTTTACACTGAAAACAAATTATTAGACAATTTGTTCTAGTCAAGGATGGTTAAGGAGCTAGTCTTTTGGGTCAGAACACTAAAGAGGAGTTTGGCTTTAGTCGGAAAAGTCCTCGCATAACTTTGGAAAGAACCAGACCATGTTCATAAATATTAGCAAATTATTTCAGTTCAATTGTGCGTAGACATAGCAGACAAAAGTTAATTACAAGCGATATTAATGACCTTATGAGGTAAATGAACACTGTCAGACAAGGCACGATCAAGAAGATTTAGATCAGCGTCAACAACGTACTATGTTACAGTGAAACCAGTGTCTTGAAACGACACGTGACTTCGACATGGTCCTATTAATGGCAGGTTACTTACCCAGGCTCTGATTATCTTCTGTCAAGTTACTTCGATTATGGGTTCGCACAGAAAACTCCATCTTTAATGTGATATGATAGTGATGTTAGGCGCTGTTTTTTTTACCTGCAAACGTACAGGTTGTTCGTTGACCAGTGGAGTGGTAAATCTTCTCTAGCTTACAAGAACCTGTTATACTAGTTATATTTGTTTTATGACCTGCTGATCATACGCAGCATTTTAAGATTCTGCAACAACTTGCAGCAAGAACTTAATAGAAAGTTGATAATTTTATTCCACAAAAAAGGTGAAATAACGTTTCTCCAGCCAATTTAAGTTGAATACACACTTTTTAAGTGAGAACTTGAAGTCTACATATTTAAAATATAGAGATTTGATCTGAAATGAGTATTCACGACAACTGTTATGGAGATATCTTAGTAAATCAATCGTTAAAGGTAAATATAGTACAATTTACACCATTTGTTCTCAATTTCCAGAAAATGGTTACTATGTGGCGTTTACGGAGATTTATTTAGTTGCACAATCAACTACATGGACTAATCTTAATTAAACAACCATGTAGGGTTACTCAATAGTGTCCATTCACGACCTCACCACCAGGAATCTTACCTAGGACCTTTAGTCTCGAAGCAATGTTAGATAATTTTAATAGTTTCCAGCAATTTTTCAGCACAAAAGACGACATATATTCTATAGATTGTTTAGCTATGTCGTAAATCTTGTGGGATAATAAGGAAGTAAACTTTTAAGAAATCTCATGGTATGACTATCTAATTGCTCCGTATTTCTTAACATAAAACTCATCTTAGCAGATGTTAAAGTTGTTTTCGAACAAACGTAAGAGCTGCAATCTTTCGCTTTAATAAAAATTTAGTGACATACATATGGAAAATATTATTTACAAATGACAGTTCAATATTTTATTTCGTTATCTTACGCAACCTCATTTCTATGCACAAGTGGATATGATTTCCATTGAAAACTAGTTAACATTTAGAAAGTTTAAAGTCTTTTGGACTTCATAATTCACGAGCACAAATAATCTGTTCAAATCATTAGATCAAGTTTAGATAAATTAGAAAATTTCAGTAGTTAAGTCCAAAAGCATTAAGAAATACTATCAATGAATTGGAGTTTTTGAAAAATTAAATTCACTGATTTGCTTTATAGATTAGGTCCGTAAAGTCAGCACAACTTGACACGACTGATGTCGAAATAAATCATTTCATTTAGTAATTAGTGGCATAGCACATAAAATTGTTTCGTATTACCAACAATTCTTCCCCAAAACAAATTTCGTATTGATGAATTTATATTAGATTCATTTTTATTGCCTAGAAAATAACCTTACCGTACAGACAAGAATGGTTTACATATGATAGAAAAACTACATATTCTATGGTGATAAACAATAGACTGTTTCTATTGCTTATATACTGAACATGAATTATTTGTCTGTACTTGCTCACACTAACCATTCAAAAGATTTCATGTGAATGAATCTATATCACCTTCCATTAAAAGTGAAGGTGCCCAGAATGCTGGCAGAACAACACGAAACTATGAAGTGTTCATCATGAAGTACTTATAGAGTTTATATGACTTTATTTTAGTATGTTACGGGAGTGGGATTTTATGATTTGATAAACGGGTTTGAAGCTGTTAAAATGAATGAACAGCCAGAGCTATATTTTTCGGGTAAGAAGACAAGCGTCATTTCTGTGCAACAACAGATGTTCGAAATGTCTTACAGAAGAGAAATTATGGCGAATAACCTTTTTCAATTAGTAGTAGAATCAGTAGTCCAAATCTAATAATTATTCGTTTCTCCTCTTCGAAGTGAAGCAAGTGAGTTCGTACAGCTAAAGATTTGAAGTAAACTAGATAAGGTACGTTTTGCTTCACAAATCAAATTTTTATTTTTTCAAACTTATTTACACACTTGGAAGCTTAATGCCCATTATACTGAAAGAGTGAGCAAAGCAACGACAATAAAAATGCAGTAACCTGTTCAAGCTTACTATGAAGATGTCTTATTAGAATAAGCAAAATAAACATTTTTTTGCATACTCGTGTGAAGGTAAATGATGTGCACTATAAGTTAGTAACCAAAGAAAGCCTATATGTTTTGAGCCTTTATTAAACTCACAAAATAACTTTTATGATGGCATTGTCTAGATCAAATATGAATCTTTCTGCCAAAAGTTTGTAAAATAGAACTAAGTTATGCACGTCCGATCACAATGAATAGAGGTGAAAATCATCTACAACGTAGCAGTTTATGTGCTAAGCCCTCAACAGCACTTTCTTGTATCACTACCTTAAATATTCCCTAGCTCTTGAAATAGTTACATGGGTTAGAGGTCAAAATTCAGTCAAATCTGCGGACCTTCATATACTTCGACGTAAATAGACTGATTGTGTGCTTTTTACACATATTAAAATCTCATTACACACGATATTTTACATAAAGTTTTACTGTCAGATATTTCATCGCAGAGAAATTTCAGAAGTTAATGAAATGAATAGCGAATCGCTATTTGAAATATTTGACACTTAGTCGTCAGTTGTCTCCTATAAAGGACAATGATATTCCCCAAAAATGAAAGTAGTCTGATCTCAACACATTTATGGATGAAACACATCATTCAACGAAAGAAAAGTTTACCCAAAGCATTTACTTTTGCAACCATTATTACGAGTTTAACTAGATACATCCTTAAACATACTTATTTTCAAAAGCAATGTTGAACACATCATTTGATAAATAATTCACATATAAGAATGACTTTTCAAAGAGCTAAGCAAAACAGGTATCTTTCTGAATATTTTATCAAGTATTTTACATTCGTGAACGTATAGATCTCGCTAACCACACGTATCGAAACAGCGTTCAGTCTCAAAGTATTGCATTGCAATCTGTTAATAATTCGGCTCTTTTAGGGTATCCTTCTATTTGAGTATTGCATTAGTACAGCTCTATAAGCCTACATTCTAAAATTATAAAATTCACTATCGTCAGTGAAAAAATAATAGCGAAATCTGAAATACATCAGCAAAGTAATTTTGAAAGGCACCGATAGTAGAAAGACAATACGATAATTAATAAGTGTAAATGCGTTCCATAAACTGTAGAAAGTTAGTAACAAATTATAGACACCTAAAGAGTTATTAAATCTGTGTTACATGTGATATTCCTTAACCTGTCAGATTTAGGTACTACACAATAAGGATATAAGCCACATATTGTAAGGGAATACTGAGGTCCTATAGTCCATGAAAGATTAATAAAGTAATGAAATAATCAGTGACAAACGGTACAATTCATGAAAATTTATCTCGATATTCGTCCGCAATACTAGGTAGGTTGACTGTATGCTTTTAAGCAAATACTTTAGTTACTAAGGAAAAGGTATAATATAACTGCAACGCTAGGTAAATCCCTAAAGTAAACAGCTCTGTAAGTCTTCGACATTGATACTAATCATACTGGTTTAACTGGATACCCCACAAACGGAGATGCTCAGTTAAGGCATCCGTATCAAATTACACTTCAATATCTCATGCAATCCATTTACTGTAACATCTAGCCATCTTAGATGCTATACGCTACGATATCCCTACCTAACATCTTACATAACTTTCGATCTCTGAATTCACTAATTTTTGAAACATTTCGTTAAAAGATGTTCCGAGAGTAATACTAACAAAACTTGAGTACATAATGTGTTTGAGCAGTTTTCATGCGACTATTAATAGCCGGTATTATTACATTCTAAATGTTTACCATTTTTCAAATCTTAAATCTACTGGCATTTTAAAGCACTAAAGAAAAACAGATAGTTGTAGCTGAATTCTCGGGTCTTAAACCTGAAATCGGGGATCAAATAGGCACTATTAGTTAATAAACTGGAAAAGCAATTATGATAAGCAGTGTTTTTTTTCAGAGCTGTTTTGACTGTTCATTAGTAAGTGTTTATATAACCAGGTGATAAGTTGTTGATATGTCAGGATTAAGAACTGGATTCATGCAAAAACCATAGCGATAGTAAGAACCAAAAATATAAAAACTTACTCTTAAAGCATTAGGATTTGAGCTGTAATCAACCTTTTGACAGTAAAGCGAGTAATTTTCATTTAATGCGACTGCTATAGATTCATATAGCATATAGGCATTCATAACTACCATGACCCAATCATAAACAAAAACGAGTCGATTTATTTGAAAAGGATTCCTTCCTTTCATGAACTTTAACCCATAATAAACTAATATTAGGTAGGCGATGATCACATATAATAAACTATTCACTGAACTCATTAGGAACAACGAAGAGACTCTGGGGTCTATATGGAATACATACACATCTTAATCGATAAATACCTGCTCTTTCCATGCTTTTTGCAAAAATCCTGTTCATCCAGTCTATATATTCACCTACTACCGTCATCTTCAATAGGCGATTAGAAACAAATGACAGAAAGGAATCTGTGTGATGATGTTCAATGATAAATTTGACAAATTAAAACAAAATTAGTCGAATCCAGTTTCAATATCTTATGTTACAAGCTTCTGCAAACTGATTGATTTATTTGTCTCTGTTTTTCTTCTTTTTGATAAATCTTCGGGTATTTGGTGATGTACATTAAGTGATAGTCTTGCCATTTGATTGCACCAATTTGTGGATTTGGATACCTAACAATTCCAGTGAGCGCGTTTTTATCTGAGCAGTTCAGCTTTGGATATCAGCAGATACCACAGTGCTAAACAGGAAGATGGTTGGTTTCAATATGAAGGATAATAATGTAGAAGTTCGAGTGATATTAGTATACGATTGTTTCAAGAAAAAAATCAATAAGTTAATTTATTGGTAATGAAGAGAGTATGACAACGTTGAAGTGTAAAAATAATAGTTGAAACGCAGATGACAGTAAGCGGAACAGAAAGTAGTTATTGGTATGTGATAGTGATAATAGTAGTATATCATGAGACATCGATTAGGCACAACTGATCCAAATGGGAGGTAATCTGTGGATGAATACGTGTTTGTCAAATCTCCCCTTGAAGCTGTATACTGAGGGAGCTATGTTTTTTCTACTGAGGGAGCACATCCAGTTGTGGCAGCTCTAAATGAGAAGTAAGAGCGTACCTGGTGTTTTCACTCTTTGGTGTGCAATCTTTTAGGCGTTGCCCCAAGGAGTATGTTTGTAATTTGTCGACAGGATACTCAAGTTGGGATAGTTTGAAAGTGGTAACATTTTTTCACACGGACTATAAATTTCTCGACTTGCCTTTTTATAGGCTGTATTATACTGAAATTATTATCCTATATTGTATATCGGGCATATTTTGTCCCAGGAAAATAAATTTTACGGACATTTACCAGATAATACATGAATATTACGGACTTCGTTTCCTACATACCTTGTATAAACCTCCAGTAATATACATTGACATGTTTATCTTTTGCTCATAATAATTGAAATAAATATATTCCAATGATCGCTACTCTCTTACGTTATAACCGTACACCTTATATTTGAAATAAATTATATACTCATAGTTTCTGATCTTAGCATTAACCCGGTTAATACTTAACAATAACTGTACACTCAGATATTCTGCTTAATTTAAAGAACTCTCTATTCATTCAGCTTCAAATTATGGCTAGTAACACTAGTAAAATAGAACTTTCACCAACTTTTAAGTCAACTAAAAGGCCGAAATCTGTAACCCCTATGACTGATGATTCAGTAACTGACAATGTTAAACCTTTATCTTCTGAACCCTATGCGTCGTATCCACAAATATCACTATCACTACCTGATTTTCGACGTAACAACCCATCTATCTCTTCGTGCAGTATGCTAACAGTAAGACTGGCTAACATAAAAGGCACAATACCCAAGTGCATCAAAAAGTCAACACAGTCTAACAGACATCATGTTTTACTAAGGCCTAAATCCTAAATTTCAAAAACCAAAGCGTCTAACAGTTTACTGATCGACATTGTACTGATATCCATCAGTTACGAAAATCTCTAGCCAAAATTAACAGTAGACTCAGCCAATTAGCACCCCTCACACACATATGGTTCCTTAAAACTGATAAAAATTTTGAACAAGTCACTAAAGCTGAGTGTATTTCCGAGTTTATAGCTGAAGACGTGACGATGAAGAGCGATTTCATCCTAAGTGCAGTTGTATACAATCACCCTGACCGCACTCACCAAAATAAGTTCAGGGATATTTGCCTTATAGCATGCGGTATGGTGAACGTCAACTGCAAAGTCATCCGCCTTAGGAAAAAGTCAGACAGATCGACATGCCCTCTCCTGAATTAATTTGGCTGTCGTAACGATACTAGATTAAAGCACGTGAACAATAAGCATGATATTACTCTACAAACGGCAGATCACTTTGTAGATCTAGATGAGTCTACTGACCAGAAATCTTTGGATAATATAGGGACCCCAACTGTCACCAAAATGCATAACGACATGTCTAATCCCAGCTGTGCGCTTAGTAATATACTAACATGTGAGTCGTGTGACAACACGCATCCAACTAAACCTATACGCTTGAAAATTAGTCCACCTAAAGATACTCCACAGGTTGACTCGAATGAACCTAAATCCATCTCACAACGAAACTCCCCGGCTCCGTCAAAAAGGATGGGGAGACAAGACTCACGATACCGAATGGAGAAACACGTAAGATTAAAGTCAACTGTTCTATGGGTATCCCAACAACAGTGAACAGGTTCCCCCCGCTGATATCATGTAACTTGCCGTCAACACCTCTAAGTTGCAAAACGGGTAGTAGGCTGAGAGTGACGAGTCATTTTACAAACAGACTAACAAAAACTACCAGAGCATTGGTCACTTAACTCACACCCTAAAGCCTAAAACCATTATCAAGCATGGCAATAATAGGTTTTGGACCCCACACCCTATCTTACATTCCCCAGGATCACAATCCTAATTACTCTCAGAAACAAAGCTTACCACATTCTTCAGTACCAATCCACTGTATAAAAACGGATTCCATGTACAGTAACAGTCGTAAATACTCCCAGTTACGTGCAGTATACCCTCTTCACGCTCACACGAACGTAAATAACTACAACAGAGACTACGAGCTTAACGATCAGGGCAATTCTGTAAATAACAGTACGCTTCACAGTTGGCCTGTACCAGATTTTTTCGGAATACGGCCCCTAGTGCCAGCTATGCTAAAGTATATAGCCTACGTCATTTCAAACAACATGTGAAACATAAACATGCCTCCCCCATACGGTTTCCACCAGAGAGTACTTCCACCCTTTCCACTCCCCAAGCAACCTCACTGTCTCATTTGATACATACCCAACTAACTCTAGCAATCAAAATACCGAGCCACTGAAGAACATTCAATCCTTCACTTTAAACCCACATCACACCCGCAAGGGTTATGACAACTTTATTAGGGATACTATCACCCATTTTAACTTAGTAGGCCTTTTTTTAATATATACCTCATCAACGCTAGGTCGATTTGCAATAAAAAACGGATTTAGCCTTGTTTGTATCCATATATCAACCATCGCATATGACGATATCTGAAGCATGAACTAACAGTAATATTTCCGATCTAAATATATATCTTGGTAACTATTTCATATATCGAAGTGATAGGTTGAAAGGACGAGGCGGAGGTTGCCTTATTAACGCTCAATCTAGCCTAAACTCACTATAATGTGATATGTCTGAACTAAATGAACTGAAGGGAAAGATGTGGACTGTATCAAAGCGATCAATTTTCGTTACCTTACTGTTCCGCATCGATAAGTTATTCACACTAGCACCATCACTTCCATTCACAGGCAAGCTTATTTGTGGTGACTTCAACATGCCCGAAATTTCTTAGTTCCCAGTCAAGGCACCAAAACGTTATGAATCATTTATTGAATGTCCGGAGCTTAAATAACAGACTCAGCATGCCAATAGCCCTACCGGACATCAAAATATCTTAGACCTCGTCTTTACAAGTAACCTCATGCTCAATACTGTGTATATTGGAAAAACGTTTCCAGGTAGTGATCATAAAGTTGTCATATGTAGCCCTAATATAAAAACCGCAACCGGTAGACGTAAAAACGCAACACTTCGTAGAAACTATCTCATGGTTGATTGGAATAACTTCCACAATTACCTAAAAAACACTGATTGGGGAACTTTCTTTACTGCAAACAATACCGACACACTAACCAATATATTTTATGTCAACATCAGAATTATCATCAACAAATTGCACCTTTAGAACACCGGAGACTTAAGTTTTCTAGAGATTTGCGTAAACGGTCAGTACACGAAGACGTCTTCAAAGACATTGTACTCGATTCCACAACGTTAACTACTTTCCCTATTTAGTAACGATGACAAAAAATATTTGTCCGAACAGAGGCAATACATACACAAAAAAGGTCTCACAGGAAAAACATGTTGTCAAACTTAACAATAACTTCTCTGCACTCACCATACTCTTTCAAAATAAACTTAGACGTTCTAAATCTAGTGAGACATACTTATTAAAGACAATCAAGTGTACGAAGCTCCTAAACTTGTTATGGAACTACTTAGCGAACACTTTTGTTTCTCACTAACTAACGGAAAACCATTAAATGATTCAGAACCAACCCAAGTACCTCCCTGTGAAATTACTAATGTAGACTTCAAGGTACAAAATATCTCTAAAGCAATTAGTACATTGAAACACTCCCACATTGATAGACCAGATAGTATTCCGGCTTGCATACTGACATGTAGAGGTGATGATATGTGTGTTTTAATTCTCCATTTATTCTTGATATCATTCTCTACAGTGTTTTACCATACTGCCTGGTACACTACACATATCATTCTAAAAATTAAAACGGGACCTGAAGTAAGTGTTGAAAATTACCGGCCCATAAACATAACTTCAGTGGTATCTAGAGTGATAAAAAAGTATTTAACGTGGCCGTAGTCCAACATCTACTTACTAATAAATCATCCCGACCTCCTAGCATGGATTTCTTAGGTCTAGATCATGCGATACATGCCTAGTAGACTACCTGGATGATATAACTCTGAAACGAGACAACGGACTGCTTGTATCAGTTTTATTCTTAGGCTTTAAGAAAGCTTTTGATAAGGTCCCACACAAAAGGCTTCTAGTCAAACTACAGTCCTTCAGAATCAACGACCCACTGTACTCATGGTTTGTTTCATTCCTAACAGAACGTAAACAAATGGTAAAATACAATGACTCTCTCATCATCTAGATCAATAACTAGTAGAGCCATCCAGGTAAGAGTGTTAGGTCCACTTTTGTTTCTTATGTATAAAAACGATATATGTAACATCATAAAATTTGGGGAACCATACTTATATGTTAATGATCTCAAAATAATGTACAGCTACAAGCCTGAGACTCTAAGTGAAAATGTATCTTTGATTCAAAATGACCTCAATAACCTAACAATCTGGAGAGAAAAACGGCAATTGACCATTTAACCTGAACGAGGGCGGGATCATGAATTTTGGAAAACGTCCCTATGATTTTCAACTTTAATTAAATAAAAGTAGAGTCTGGACAATCAAGTCAGCATATGATCTGGGAATTGGTTACACAGGAAGCCTAAACTTTGAAGAACACGCCTCGTTTATTATTTCTAAATATACATGTCTAATTGGTTTCATAACGAAAAATTTCTCCACAACAGAGGTTAAGCTCACCCTTTACGAAATATGTGTACGACTTCCCTTTGAATACTGCTCTTTTATATTCTCTAATATGAATACCAAAGACAAGATAAGATTAGATGTTCGAGGTTGTTTCACACACCAACTGCTAGGAAGTGACTTCACTCTTGATTAAACAGATAGATGTAAGCACCTCTCTTTAGAACCTTTATGTCACCGTAGGCTGAGGAACAATCTACTATTCCTTTACAAAGCATTATATGGACTCTCATTTCTAACCTCCTTCCCAACTACGATCCATGACCCAGCCTGTAGACTAATAAATAAAGGATATACACTACTTACTGCGAAACACTAAAAGTAAATGCGTTGTAAGTTTTTTACAGTGCGGCATAGTTGACTGTGCAACAGGTTGCCAATACCCATCCTTAACTGTGACATTTTTACTAAATTCGAAAGGCTAATAACACTATTACTTGACACTAAAGAGCTTCACGAACTATTCCCTGAACTTCCGCTCACCAATGAGGCTCTTTATTATGGACCGCTTAATATCTAGACATATCATAAATATAATAGACCCCATTGTCATTATTATGAATATAAACAAATGATAGAACATATGCCTTACTATCTTCCGATATTCATTGATTATTAGCTATGTCCTTATGCTACTACTCCTCACTTTCAGATTCCGAATGTCTCTAATGGTTAAAGATACATTATTCATCCTAAGTGTCATGTCCTTATTTTCTAGTACAAGTAGACGGATAAATCACTAATCTAGTCCTAAATCCTTGTGAGTCGCTCAATGTTTTATCTTCTTATTCCGAAAATTTTACAATTCTAAACTCTTACATATTCTTTGATTCACTGTCTATCCTTACCATCTCTTAACCACATATAATCTGACCTGTGTTTTTTAACTTTTACTGTGTGGGAGTGAGATTAGAATTTCTGTAGAAGGAAAAAAAGTAAAAATTACAATTCATATGCATATGCTGGTAGAATGAATCGTATATACATAAACATGTGAACAGTGAATAACCTCCTCACTCACTGTAGTTTGTCCAAGATTACATCTAACTTACCATAAATGATCCTTCTAAATGTCATGTCAACCACATTATTAATTCTATCCATGGATTTCATTTTGATGCTTTGACTGGTGTCACATTTGTATCATGGCTAAAGAAATATGAAGATGCATTCAAGGTCGACCTAGAGAAATTTGACGATGCCGCCAAGGTCAGTGTTGCTACGCAAACTTGGCACAGCCGAAAATGAACGCTTCACCAATTGAAATAATTGACACTGTTTGGAATAACATTCTTTTCACCTGTCTTCTTTCTTCTTATTTGCAACTTGAGAAGGTTCTGACGTCCGAGTTCTCAAGTTATAAGCGTTATATTAAGGATCTAAAGCCCTAGATATAACAATAAAAAACTAACATTGTGTATTGCGGTATGCGCTGCTGATGTCGACAGACATAAGTAGCATATATCATCAATCGAAAGTGGAATGCCTGGAGGCAGAAGGCTGAGATCAAAGAAAAGAGAAGGACGACAGAGAGTGATTGGTATGGGAACGAAGGAACAACAAAGCCCGTGACAAGTGATAGGTATTTTGCAAATGAAGTATTACTGTATGGTTCTCAGATTTCATTAAGAGATTCCCATTATTGTCGTCCTTCATAATATTATTCGTCTACTTTATCAAGCGTCGGATAATTTCTGAACTACGTAGTGAATTGGATAAAGCAGAGCAAAGGGAGCATCATGCTAGACATGTGGTTTGATGACTCTAGATAAGTACTATTGTGAGAATGCAATTCCTGAGGAGCCGAAAATTACTCTTCAAATAGCTATTCAATTCCCCTTAAGTTTTATTGGTTACTTGTTTAATGGTTTCAATGAATAAGGAAAACCAATTTTTACGACTGAAAAAATTTCTTAAATTATCTAATCGAAACTCTATCTTTGTTATTTCACCATTCTTTCTTTGATGTTATCTATCTAAAAATCATCATTTATCACTGTTACTAGAAATTAGTGAAGGTTAGACCAATACACTGCCACTCAAGTAAAAATCCACCATGGTTTACACTTACTTGACAAGAAGATATAGAAAGACAAGCTGATATTCTTTCACCTAAAATCATGTAACTGAATCCCAAAAGGAAGAATAAGTGATATATATACTCAACGAGCATAGACATATTACTAGCCTGTGCTCATACTTAATCTTAAGGTCAGAGCGTACATGAGATATCACAAGCGAAGCAACCTATACAACTACCCAAGGTATTATGGTGTTCAATTTAGGCGTGTTAAATCCACATCAGTGTATACTCATTTTGGAATGCAATATATGACAAAACACCTAACTATCAAATGATCCAATCCAATCCAAATGGTTAACTTGTAGTCAATGGTGTGATCATTTCGAATATCTTATTCCTGAATCCTTTTACAATACCTTTACCTGGTTCCCTGTCTTTTCATTAATTAATTATTATTATTGCATAGGGGGGATTTCGCATGTTATAAGACGCATGTATCATTACTAAATCGGATTTTAGAATATAACACAAACATCTCCAATAAAAACAGTACAATCTTTCATGTCTAAACGTTGAATAACTTTCATTCAATATAATAACAATATTGATAGTTTGAAATTCTTTCATACATAACAAATTAGAATGAACATAATAGGCCTATTAGTTTTCAATCATTAATTTCTTTAAAAACAAAATATGATTTACATTGAAAGTTTTTAGGCAAACAACCATAATGTAGAAAAAATGTATTCTATTTTTTCTTTTTTCTTAAAACAAAAAAAACCATATTCACGATCATTATTATTACTACTGTGATTACTTCATACTGGAATAAACAAAATAAATTTCAAATATACATAAGATAATATCAATCAAAAATTAATGTGGAGGGAAATCTTATTTTTTTTAAAAAAAAGGAAAAATATGGAAGACAAAAATAAACATTTCACTGTGTTAAGTATTCCCTTGAAAGTTTTTTTCTTTGAAAAACAAACAAACAAACAACCGGAATGAAGACAAATTTCTTTTTATTTAGTTCCTCTCATCTAACATATACACTAGCAATATTGTAGTTCAACGCACATTAAACATCAAATGATGTTATAACAATCTAATCATATATATATATTCTCTTCCAATGAATGGTAAGACTATAATTTATGGATGACCTTTGAGTGATGCTAAAGTGACTTCGAGAATATCTGCTCACTTCGTGGGACCAAAAAGCGATTATAATTAGGATTAGGATCTTAAGTTAGAAATCAGAGTTAGGAATTAAAGTTATAGTTTTCATCATGAATTGACATTATCTATAGTGTCAAAATGCTGTTTGATCATATTAGTAAATGTATTTCACGTCAAAATCCACGATATACTGCCGCTAAGTTCATTGGTTCATATACAAGGAAAGAAATATTAATCAGTTTGTAATTTAATGGCTGCTAAATTAAAACAGAAATAAAATTATAATCAGAGAAGGGTTTTTTGTGGATATTATAGTAATTTCAACTGACTCATAATCTCAACCATTGAAATTACTATAATATCCACAAAAAACCCTTCTCTGATTATAATCATCATATGCTCACTAGTGACGGTCTCCAAGAGGTATTTTCTGGAGTTCTAGTGAGAAGCAGTGACCAGTGGAGTTCATCAGGGTCTGTTGTGAGATAGTAACTCACTGAAGACAATGGTGGGTGTGTCGCTCAATTTCGTAGATTGGTTGAAGTTAGACATTAACACCGTTGGATACCGGCTCAGTGATCTAGTGGTTAAGCGCTCACGCGTGAGACTGATAGTTCCTGGGTTCGAATCTCGTAGGGGGCGATGTCGTGTTTGCACACGGCTGAGGAGTCTCATACGAGGACGAAACGGCCGTTTATTGCTTCCAGGCTTTCCATGGTGGTCTAACTTCAACTGACTCATGATCTCAACCATTGAAAAATAAAATTAAACAGACGATTAATTATTGCAACAAATTACGTAAGAATTGATCGTTTTTCAATTATGAAATTCTGTGATTACCGCACTTTTATTTAAACTAATATCCTTTAACAAATTATATCAACATAAATTTTAAAATAAAAAAATAAAAAAATAGAAAAAAGATTGATGATAATCATGAAAATGATAATTTACAATACAGAGTTTATAATAAATAAGACAAGTCAAGATTTAATCTTATCATAATCAACTAATTACTAAAATGTATTCTTTATTGATGTTGAGAGAAAACAAAATAAGAAATGAGTTGTTGACTCGGCAACAAAATTTTTTTTATCAATTACTGTTTGTAACCAACAAGACGAGACAGTGTTAATAAGCCATTGATTTTAATCATTAATTTTATTATATAATGATGATTGATAGGTTCATACGTAAAACGCTTATTGAATTACTTCTTTTTATACTTAAATTACATACAAAAACCAATTTACCTTTTTGTATAATTCAAGAAGAAGAAGAAGAAGGAGAGAGAGAGAAAGAGGTTGGAGGAGGAAAGACAAATTGTAAAACACTATTTTTTCTCTCATATAATGAATAATATATAAGGAAAAGTTATAAAATGAGCTGTAAAAATAAGTACACTCATAATCAGTAAACAATTCAATACAAAATTCTTTAATTAATATACATAGTTTATAAACCGAAACCAAACCAATTAAAAGGTTATATGAATACAAATTATACATGTTCATGAATTGAATTCCTATTTGTAATATACACATTTTTTTGCCATTTATAAATACATAAAAATATAAATTGACATAGAACAAATGTTCCAATACCATATGATTCAACATTTTGATAATATGTTAATGATGAACATTCATTCCATAATAATTCAATAATTTGTATAACAATACCATTAGCTAATTTATCAGTAAATGACATGTAACCATAAACAAATGCACCATGTTGTTGATTTTTTGCTATTAAATCTGATACCATTGCTAATGATGTAATCAATATAATAGTACAACCAATACCAAGTATACCAGCAGCAATGTATATACGATGAATTATTGGTGGATTACCAGGATAATTAACTAATATACAAAATATTGTGATAAAAATCAATCCGATTCCGGAATTTGTCTGTAAGTTGATATATTTTTTAAAAAAAATCCACAACAATTTATAAAATGCAGAAGTATTTGAGAAGAAAAAAAATGTACAGGAAAATAGTAAAATGAGGTTCTGAATTTAGTTGTTGAGGTTCTAGACTAAATGCATTGGGTATTGTAGCGTCTGCCTACTAGATGAGTTCATGATCTTCTGGTAATGATCAATGAATAAAAGTCATATTACTATTTGATTGGTGTAATTTTATCAGCATTAAGGAACAAACAAGCATTTCATTGGTCACATTTTAAGGGCTAATCAAAGTAAATATCTCAGTCTTACAGGAGGACAGTAGCTGTCTGCATAGGTGTTTGGTAACAGTTCAGAATGGGAAATTAGGTGACCCAAGCGTTAATTTATCAGGGAGCATCAATCGCTTTACGACTATAGAAATCCTTTACAGGCTAGCGAAAAGTTCTAAAAATCCTAGGTCCGGCATTTCCTTGTGACTAAAAGAAATCACCTAACAGTCATGCTGAGAGTAAAACGGAGATTCATCAGTTACATTGAAAGATCGATAATCATAAGTCGAAAATATTATTAGATTGTGAAACAATTTTTTAGTTGAATTGACTGTACAGCAGTGCGTGAAAACTAATGGATTTGTCACTGCGATTAAATACATCCAGAGATAGTTAAAAACTCTCCTGATTTAATTTCAAGGATATACTCTGTTAATGAAACTTATTTATGTTTATTGAGCTATAGTGATATTTGATAAAACGTTATCCTACCATAAAAACACTTAAAAAACATAACAGTCATTAAACTGGATGTTTACAATTCCATCAGTTGAAATAATGGGAAATATTAAACTAATTAAGTTGCTGATTTAGTAAAAGTCGATTGATGATTCTGTAAAATTACAGAAAAACTTCAGTCACCTGTGCTCATTATCAAACTTTTCTCAACGATGATGGTGAATAAAATAAGACATGCATAATCATAAAGATTAGTGTGTTCTTGTTATACTGTAGTAAACGAGAACACAGGTTGGGACAATCGAATGTTTTCAAACACTAAATTACAGAAGTTCTTAGTAAAATCTGAGATCCATATGGTAAATACTTAATTTGTAGAATATCAGTCAATCGTCTCAGACTTCATTGTTCCTTTATTTCTACATCAATCATTGGCTATTCTTATTCTCTTCTCATCAATCTTCCCAACCTTCTACCGACTGGTATTTAACTTCCGATTGATGATGCATACTACTTACATCTATCGATATTAGTAACACACACCACAATAGTTAATTAGAACTTTACATTTTGAAAACGAGAATCCTGTTGATTTATTGTAAACCAAGAAGATTGTGTAAATATTTATTTCAACAATGATATAAACATATCAGTAAAAGATATGACTGGATGAAAAAGCAAAATTACATTTTTAACTCATAGCAATTCCTGTTCAACATTACCGTTTTTAATCCATTACGATTATTATTAAATGTAGTATTTATTTGATATTCAATGTGTTATTTTATTCAGTCTAATATTGGTTTGCTTCAGTGTGGTGTTTATGCAAAACATGATATTCTATGTATTAAATTAACCTTAAAGTGTGCTCAGCATGATATGCACCATGTGATTTTTTTATAATCCTGGGTATTTTTCGTATATGTGACTTTTTTAACAATCAATTGTGTGTACAAACTAATATATGAATAAATGTATCTTTAACGAGAGTTGTTATAATCTTTTCAGGGTGAATAAATCTCCACATGTACCAGTCTTTCGTGTTATTACTTCGCATCGTGGGAATTGTAGTGGTTCCTTGTTTTAAGAACAAGCAATAAGCTTGACCAATGGAGCTAATCGATATCGGGTGTGAAGACGATGAAAGATGGCCACGTAATGTTGTGAATTGGTTGGGATTAGAAACAAACACCGTTATATGCTGGCTCAGTGATCTAGAATTTAAGCTTTCTCACGTGCGACCAAAGATCCTGTGTACGATCTTCGGTGACAGATATTTGAACGCGCACTGCTGAGGAGTCCCATATTAGGAAAGAAAGGTCGTCCAGTGTCTCTAGGTTTTCAAGAATAGTCTAACTTAGATCGGTTTATGATTCCAATGCAATTTAACAATTTCCGCAACACTATACTAAAAATAAACTATTGATTCAAGTAATCTTCTATGAATTTAATTGATTTCGCATTATCGCTGTGATGTACAGTGGGACAATTTGAAATGATGCATAATTTTTCGCTTCTTCCCTTACATTATGTTAGCTAACACTAATTGATATGTATATTTGAACACGAATAATGGACAGAAGAACTTACTTCACGACTGATAAGATCTTGTATTGGTTTTTGTACCATAGTAGTAGCAATACTTGTCAGGTACACTGTTAAAGGAACTAAAGCCATTGTAATTTTAGGTAAACGTAATGAATGTAAAAGGTAAATTGTTAAATAAGCCTAAAAATTAAAAAAATTAACTCAGTGTAAATTCTTTTTTTTTTTAAATGTACAAAATTTTGACTAGTCTTTAATAATCCCTAACAAAATTCCATCAATGCATTATGAATGTATTAAAGATCGGAGAAGGTCAAAAACTAAGTCTACCTCATATAGAATAAGTAAATTATATTAATTTTAAAAACGACTGTCATACTCAATCATATTCAAATTGCGGAAAATAAATTTTTTATTAAATAAAAGAATTTCATCATGATCTGGTACTCGTTGATTAATGGCGAGACTATGATTTATGGACGAGCCAGTCAGAAGCGTTTTAGGGATTTCAAGGTCACTGTGCCATTTTCAGTACCTGATACTCACGTACGATCGGTTTACGTGATAATTGAGCGTCTACAACAGATGGGACTATTAAGAAGTTCCTTTATTTGTGACTGCTTTACCATGTGCAGACTACTGTGATGAGATTATCTTTCGATGTTATTTATGTTGGAGGAAGAAGTCTGCTCGAACAGGAACTTTTTTCGCTCGATCCCGATTGAGACTAAGATAAATCATGATATTTGTTGCAAATTGGATAATAAAAGCACCAGTAACCCTGGCTGCAACATTTGCAGACGTTAATGAAGCTATTCAGTAGTATGAGTACTGTAGAGATATGTGTGCAATAAAAATGACAAGTTTACATGAGTCGTTTGGAGGAGTTGGGAGAACCGTTGAGATAGAAAAAAACAGCAGTGAGGAAGCGAAAATTTAACAGAGGACGTAGTATTAAGGAAGACTGGGTAAGTAGCACTTCCATAAATATACCTCACAGGTACTTAGAATTTATGACAGATCAACCTAAAAGAGACACTTCTAAAGGGTCAGAAACCGACAAGCAACCACAATAATACCGATTATATGGGAATACTTACAGCCGGGTAGTACAATATATACGGATGATTGGAGAGCCTACCGATGCCTGCATAGACCTGGTTATGTGCATCATGTCGTTGTCCACAAGTGTCATTTTGTAAACTCTACAACAGGATTGCACACTAACAATATTAACGCTGTGTGGTCGAGGTTAAAGGAATTTTCACGACCTTATCATGACCCGAGAGGTCGACTATTATGGAGTAATATGGATGAATTCCTCTACCGTATGCACTACGATTTTAGAACCTCTGAACCTCTTTCAAACCTTGATAAGTTTTTGAACCATGTAAAAGAAGTATATCCACTTTAATTCTTTGGTTTTTTATAATAAATTTTACTTTATACTGTCTTCTGATTGGCTAATACTTCTCAAGGTCACCTAAGATTTATTCAAAGGTCGTCCATAAATTATGGTCTCGCCGCGATTTCTCACGCAATTCAGCATATTATCAACAGATTTTACGGTAAGTTTAATACTGGTAGTCTATAATTTTCTAGCCTCGTTCGATACTAATTGTAGTCAACAAGTCACAATTTTCGACCAGAACTTCATGAAATCTGTTTTGAAACTATTCAGTAATGTGAACATAGTCAATATCCATACAGAGTGATTTCTTTTTTGTTGTTGTTGTAGAGATTGCGTTCTCAGAGATAAGTGGCCAAACCGTGGTACTTTCAGTGCTTTTAGACAAAATTCAGAAAACAAACTTCAAACAGAAGTGAACTGTGAGAATTTCTAGACAAGTAATTGGTTACTTGTCCCGCTGACTTTGGACTTGATTGACTTTAATATATTATTATCTCTACATCTACTTTGATTGTTTTTCTCTTTGACCTGATTATTGGTCTTATTGTGATAGTTTCCTTAAAGTATCTTACTATTTCAAAGTTAGATTTCAATGTTATGTTCATTGTTCTAGCTTTCGATTAACATAAAGTTGTGAACATTTCCGTTTCCCAATTAACATCAACTTGTGATTAAAATTGTTTTTCTAACGATTTACCTATTTGATCATTTACTAATGAATCATTTATAAGAATTAGATGATTTTATTAGAATACATAAGGAAAAATAAATATCATTCCTATTTGCAGCTCTTATTATTACTGTTATCACTATTATTATTAATAATAACGTTTGTCCAGCGAAGTAAACGGTTCATAATTACTAAACCTTTATTATCATACTAGACAATATCATCCGTGCTTGATTCATAGAATTATCATTAGCCTTTGTGTTTTAATTCAAAATTTTCGATCTGATTCACCGATTTTACTAATATTGGAATAAGTTTTATAATCTGGATGCTACAAGACAGTAATCCTGGTGTTTACCCTAGGTTTGTATGTGAAATTCGATTGAAAATTTCAAATATACTCGTTAAAGGTATCATTGATAGCGAACTGAGATCAGTTGACTACTGTAATTGTAAAATATTATTGTGAAATTTATTTTGTTTTTATTTGATATTCTTCATACAAAAGAGATACACATAGAACGTCTTCAGGTTGGAACTACTACTTTTAGACTTCATATTGAATGCGTAAAAATTTTTTAATTAAATTTGTAAAACTATTTATATAGAAGAACGGTATCCATTTATTCTTCCAATGTTTACTTACAATATAAATAACCAGATTAATATAAAATGTTGGTCTGTTTTCGTAACTTGACTCCACTTATTCCAACATACGATGATTGATAGCATAGGATTAGGTTGAAAAGCAGTTAATGACAATTAAACCAAGACATAGTACCATTAAGTCATTGACTGTTAGTCTGATACATGCATTTTTGAAATATGTAAAGTTAGAACTTCGAATTTATGTGATAATTCCAATCAGTAATTAGATATGTTAAGTGTTATGAATCTAAATAAATGATTTTGATATAGATTCAGTTCGAATCATCGTGTATACTTTTCAATTTTTGGTCGATTTCAATGGGGTTTTTTTCAGATCTTGATTTTTCTTTCTTTATAATTTTCCCATACATTGATTTCGACTTTTATATTGCTAATCTTCTTTTACATTATACTGCTATTAATTATGAATAATTTTATTTACTACTCAATACATCGGATACAGATTAGTATAGTTAATTACGAGTCTAGTGATAATACTCGTTAACTCAAATTGAGGTAGATGAGGTAAGATATTAATCATAACCACCAATCCACTGTAACATTCTGAGCACCTTCAAACAATATTATTTTAACTGTGATTAACTAATCATGTTCTGTACAGAGAACTGATGATAACCATTTCCTTCTTATAGATTCTAGTCCATTTTAATTCATTCAGATAGAGAAATTCTTTTATTATTCAAAAAAAAAAATTAAATATTAAATAAACTGTACTTGCCTGTGATACATTGACAATTAGTCTAACAAACATGTAGAAAAAGCCAAGAATCCAAAATAATGGTAAACGTAACCAATCTTTCCATGTAGTAATTATATAAGCAGGATGTTTTGTTTGACTGACAGATTCATGATTAGGATTATCTACTTTATTGAATGAATTATGTAAGAGTAATGAATAATTGTGAAAAAAAAACTATTTATCGGTCTTTCCATTTACATTCAAAGAAATATTTAATGTGTCGATTTATATAATTGGGAAAATAAAACATTATTATCTTAAAACTTAATTCAACTCAGATAACACTTGAAATAAACATATCATTTGTTATCAGAATAGGGTTTTGTGGAGATTTTAATGATTTAATAGTTGAATTCGTGAGTTAATTGAAGCTAGACAACCATGAAAAATCTGGAAACACTGAGCGGCCATTTCATCCCACTGTGGGACTCTTCAGCAGTGCGCATTCACGATCCCGCCTTGTGGAGTTTGAACCCAGGACCTATCGGTCTCGTGCGCAAACGCTTAATCTCAAGATCACTAAGCCGGAATCCAAGGGTGTTAATGTTTAACTTCAACCAATCCACGAAATTGCGCCACGATTCATCAGTTGTTGTAAATTTTTGTAATCTAGTCTATGAAAATAAGATTGAGAAACGTCTTATGTATTGTGAACTGAATAAAGTAACATTATTAACTTTAGATTCAGTAGCTAATTAATATCGTAATAATCTTAAGTGATAAGGTCTACGGGTTCGATACCATGAAATTGTTTATCATAGAGTTTTGATCATAAAAATATCCTTTTTATTTATTTTAAATTATAGTTCTTCAGGAGATATTAATGTATGATGAAAAATGCTTCATTGTGATAACTTTTGTTAAATGAACGTTCTCTGTACACTTGATTGAGTGCTAATTAGTGAAAGATATCGTGATTTCTAGTTTGTATTACTGATTGAATTCTATTGGTCAAGTTTCAACGTGAGTGATTTAAGATAGCATATACTGTGTTGAGATATTAGGTGATTAAAGGTAGTCAGCAAGAAACCATATATCTAGGTTTGGGGATTGTTGGTACTCGTTAGGGAACTAATAATGACGCCAGAGATTACGAAGTTGAATGATATGAGTTCGAATCCGACAGTCAGTATCAATCTCCTTCAGTTTGCTGACGAGTGAACATATTACCACTGATGTGAAATATTCACGATATTTATCTACACTTCTGCTAACTAGGATGTTACTTGTAATCAAATAACACTAACAAATTTTAACGATCAAATATCGATTTTAAATCCTTGTTTCCAACCTTAAAGTACTATCATTATTCATTATTATTGAGCAGTAGATTACAATATATCCAAACCCATAAACTCTAAACATAATTTATACAGTTAAATAAGTGCTTTCACATTTATTGATAATATTGTCTTTTTGTGATTGTCATGCAGTTTCTTCCAATGCAATGTTACATTAATACTATTTTTTATATACAATGAATATCAACTAAAAGTATCGACGTCAATATATGGAAGTTCTAATTCATATGATAATATTGATTCATTTTACTTGAGTAAATAATAAGTAATAAATAGACATACAAAACACTGATTCGGTTTTAAGTAAAATCAATTGTAAATCAACTTAGAAATATCAATCTAATTTCTTAATTACATTATAGTCGCGCACGTAATTACTTGAAGAAAAATAGTAATGTAATAGATGAATTGTCTTCATTATTGCTCTAGACTTATATATATATATATATATATATATATATATATATATATATATATATATATATATATATATATCGTCCTAGCTAAATAATCATTGTTTATAGTTCAGATCATAACCAATCTTAAACAGTTGTTGGAAACCAGGAAGCACTGGACGGCTGTTTCGTCCCAGCGTGAGACTTCTCAATAGAGAGCGTCCATAACTCCACCATAATGTTCTAAATAATAAACGTTCCTTAAATCCTATACAGAAATCATTACCTAATCAACAGATGCGATAAACGGAATATTAGTGCACAGAAATCTACAGTCAACATTCACTGAATATTACGGAGACGATGTTACCAGTTATTTAATCATTAATCCACTTATAGCAGATATTTCATGTGAAAGAAAGAACGTAGCCAGGAGTAGGCCATTAGAAAAAAAGTTGAATTAGTTCATCGATTTTTCGAAAAGAAAAGCAGAGGTGAAGTTTTTAGTGATTCATTTTCTCTTATAAACAACAATTTGTTAACTGACAAGTAAGTAAGTCTAATTATCTTGGTAGCAGTTTTAATTCACCAATTTATGAAGTTACTTGGTCAATGATTATGTTTCCAAAAACAGACTCAAATTAGATATGGAGATCAGTTCTGTGGACATATTACCGGTCAGATTAGTATAGTCATTCATAGATTCTATGTAGTAAGTCTCTACACCATGACATTTATGAATGAACGCACAATGAGCAGTGTGATGTGTTTCAAGACACGGCTTATATTGATGTAGGTAATAGTGGTCATATATAAAGTTAGGTGAAAAGAAATGTTTAGTACTAAAATTCATAAAATCAGTTTTGTTTATTCAACTTAAACATGGGAAAATATGCCGCTCATCCAACTCGATAACGTCTAGTATAGAATAAAAAACTCCAATATTCATACTTATTGCTCTATTAATAACAAAACAGTAAGTATTAATTCTTGTAGTCAATTAGTATATCTTAAGTAATAATGTCATGTCATAAATTAATGTTCACTTAGTTTCAACAGCTCTATATTGTAAACTACGCACAACAATGGCTAGAAATTATTGGGTTTGAAAAGCTAGAAAAGTTTGAAAGTGCATATCGCTTTAAAACTAAAAACTATAGTGATATTACATCCCGATAACAATGATTCTCGTTACACTGTAGAAAATACCAACGATAATTGTTTTACTTCTGTATAACTGTCGTTTGAAACTGACTATTGATGTTTAGGACTGCAATCGATCAGTCTCTTTTGGCATATGTTCATCATGTGCAGATTGTCTAGATATGACCAGTAATTCACGAGAATGTATTTTATTTTTTTAGTCATAGATGGATGATGGTTAGCAGTAAAGTTAAGGACGCGCATCTCGTCCTATCTGGGACTCATCAACTGAATGTACCTCCATCGTAGAGTTAATGTCCACCCCGGGACTTGAACCCACTCCACTGCTAACCACGATCCATCTAAAAAAATATAATTCTTATTTTTTCCAATATTTCATTTAAACTATGTGGACAAAGTACACAATCATATACATTTAAAACAATACTTACCAACAGTTATAGGTCGTACATTGTGAATAAAATCTTTCTTTCTTACTCCAAAATGAAATAATAACATTGTTAATCCCCCAACACCAATAATTGTAAAACCTAACTTTTGAAAAGCTGGTATATCATCTTTACCAAAATCAATAATTGACGGTGAAGATAGTGAGTGATTTGAACATTTCGATAATGGATGTGAAGTCATTACCATAGGTAACATAATATATTCAACTTCATTGTAATTAAGCAATTTTCTCAACGGCAACATATTATTTATTGAATTTTTAATACTAGTTTCATTACGGATATTATTATTATCAACATGATGTTGATGTTGTAAAAGAAGAAATGTACTAATATAAACAAGTAGATTACTAAGAACTGTGAATAAATAACGTAGGGAAGTCAATAAAGTACGTTCACTAGATTCCATAGATAATTCATTGATTAATGCCAAGTGAGTAATCTGAACTGCAGCCCATCCAGCCTAAAAATAACCCCATAAACAACAGATTGATTAATTTTTAATGACCAAATACCGAACCTTTTTAAAATAACAGTTGGTTATATTTCACGAGTATAACCCGAAGTTATTTGCAATACTTAAAATGTCCAATAATTGTGTTATATCTAAAACTTTGAACGATTTTTCCGTTCATTTTATGGATGAGGGTTGAATGTTAGTGTGATATTGATTATGAAATTACTTACAAAATGATTATTTTAAAGTTTGAATTATTTTTTTGCGCCAGTGTTTAAAATAAAAATCAACCTTTTTTACTGCTATTAAATGAGTTATTTTCATATCGTCATCCGGACCTTTTAGTTTGCTATAATTTCACCTTATTCAGAGTATAGTTGGTTGAATAATTTTACTTTGATCTTTATCAATAGTTCTTCTATCGAGGGTATTCATTAGCAGAAGCTGGGGACAGAAGCATATTGGAGTTGTGTTATTCACCGATTGAACAGTACCACAGTGTTATTACCCTTATCTCACGACATCAAAACTAATACCATTCATACTAGCCAAATTTTTACAGAACGTAATTTATAGGTAAATATACATTACCAAGTGACAAGGTATAAAACCTCGCAATGAAATTTATGCTTTAAACATAAACAGGTGAAGATTAAATGGCTTTACGGCTAGAAGCGGAATCCAAGATACACACTTCATCTTATATGTGACTCGTCATTGGATTTACTTGCATCTCAGTATTGATGTTCACACTGGAATGGAGAGTCGATCAGGGTTTGGACAGCTCAATAATAACTCCTCTAACTGCATAACTTATGTGCTCAAAGCACTTAATCTCCTCTCATTTGGCCATTTTACATTAATAACAAAAAGTGATTGACTGTAAAGTGACTGAAATAATAATATCGGAATTTCCAAGTAAATTTGGGATGAACAAATCACAGAAACTATTTTCATTCACTACAAAATTCGTCAAGTTTTTTTCTAAAAAAATCCAGATAGTTTGAATGGAGTATTTACAAGGTTCAACTTCTAATTTAGTGTGACATATTTACAATTATCTATTTATATGTGGCTTAAAGCCCCATACCACATATGAGGCTTGATAAGACTGCTACTCAGTTGTCAAGATCCAATCAGCTTTGAACCTACATTCTGGTTGTTCAAAACCAAGTGTTTTATCCCTTAGGTAGTTGTATCAGAAGTTAAGTTATAAATTATAAATTAGAGGGAATTTCTCATTTTTCGTAAGACTTGAACATATAACTAAGCGAAGCAAAAAAAGAAGGAAATTTAAAGCCAACAATTAGGTTGATGGTATAGCATTAATTAAAAAATATTTGTCGTGAATAAAAACCCTGTACAATCAAGTGTGAAGCGGTGGCATAAAAGTTTAAATACTTGACTTTCGTCTGGTAGATTCATACCTCCCTTCACTTAATTTATCTAACAGGGTGGCATAGCTATCCATCAAGCTCAAAATATAGCTCAAAGTTGAGTAAATAAAATTTGTATTTAACGCATCATTAAGTCAGTTATAAAACTAACAATTAAATAAAATATGAATAACTTACTTGAAAAATTGCCACTAATGGTAAATAATAAATCATTTTTGCCAGTGTACTAATATTGGATGAACCAAGTGGTGGACCAAATATTAAAGGAAATGAAAAAATAATTAATATACTTCCGCAAAGATGCCATATTTTACGACCAAATGGTCGAAATCTTTTTAAAACAGAGTTGAATTGTTGAAAAAAAGACGGATTATTATTATTACCAGTAGTATGAATAACATCAGAAGAGTCTGTAGACATGTAGTTTTTATTATGATTGGCTAAATGTTCATTAGAATAGTGTAAACGATCACTGAAATTATTATGTGTAACTGATGATGATGCTGACAAAGAGTGGGAAGAAGAAGAAGATATTAACAACGGTACAGATGACTGAGATGAGAATCTGTCCGAAAGTAGACCAATTACTGGTGTCATTAAACCATCAACCAATTGACCAACGAGTATTATTAAACCAGCCATACTTGTTGGTATACCAATGCCAAATTTAAAAAATACTAAAGTATATGTAAACCATACAGATGCGCATAAATCATTTAGAACATGTCCAATTGCATATGATAAACGTAAACGCCATGTTAATCCCATATTGAAACGAATTCAGTCCTGAAATTAAAAACAAGCTGAAAAAGGAAGGAAAGAAAAAAAATCTGGATATATGTAAACAGTCTTAATAAATTTATATCAGTAGTATAAGGGATTTATTGAAATTATTGAATTTACATCACGAATTGACCTTAGTTAGACAATTACTGGAACCTAGGAAACACTAAATAGTTTCTTCTTCCTTACACGGGACTCTTCACCAGTGGATATTCTCGGCTACGCTATGGATTTAACACAGAATCTTTAGGTCTCGAGGAGAACGCTTAGTCTTTAAACTAATAAGTCGACATCCATTAGCTAACATGTTTAATCTGAACCAATTTTCGATATTGTGTAATCATTTCCTAATAGGTATTACAATATTTTGCCATTACATGAGCATTAAAACTGGTAAAAAAATATCATACGTATTTCTATTTGTGATAAACCAAAAACGAAAATATAACCAGTGACCTGATCTACATTATAGATGTAATAATAAATACATGAAGTAACCCGAATTAAGTAATATAATGAGTCAAATGAAAAAAAAACATTTTTGTTTCTAGAGATTTTTGTCTGGTTAGTTCTATTTTCGATTGAAAACGATTAATTTACTAATCACATGGAATGTTTACTTGTATTTTTTTCTTAATTCAGAAGCACATTTATATGGTATAATACTAATCGATATGATTGTTTGAAGCTTACATATCAATTATAACTGCTTCATAGTTAAATCAATGATCTAATTACCAGGAGTTTAATTTGTTTGACTCATGTTATAATTTAGTGAACTAACAGTAAGGATTAATTGATCTTATATCTAATATTTGAATCACTTACAACATTAGATACCAATTAGCTAATAAACTATACATGAAATATTTGCATAATACAAAAAGTATTGTTTAGCAGAACATAATCTTTCAAAAATCATAAAATACCTGCATCAGGTTTCTAAAATTTTATTTCACCAACTTTAGGGTAAATGAATAAACATCCCTTTAAAAATACAGCCCTTTTGTAAGAGTATATTTATTTTATCTCTGATTTCTTTATTCAGTTAACCTTTGTAAGTCCCCCGAGAGTCAGGCTCTTTAGAATGCTTTGTCAATTTTTTGTTGCTGATATTCTTCCCAAACCTAAATGTTTAGTTAGAATCGTGTGATTGAACGATTTTCCAGAGTTCATTTCATCACCAATTACCAGAGGGTAGAAGTTACTTCATACATCCTGTTTTCAATAACACAAGTTATAGACTATTTTAACCTTGAACTAACCTTACATTTTTTACAGGACTCACTGAAATACTTGATACAATGAAGTTATTCCTTTGAATGAATTATCTCTGCAAACAAGCATTAACATCTCATGAACTGATAAGAGAACATTTGTATACTATAAGAACACTGGACAGCTGTCCCATATTTTAAACATTGTTGGGGGATAACAAACTGCTATTTCCTCGACTTTAATAATAATTCTACAGTTGATGTCATCCTAGAATAAATGATTATTTAATACAACAAAGAAATAATCAAATTTCGATGTTGAAACTGATCAAACATGAAAAATTCCAATCATGATAACAAAAGACAGAAAAATTCAAACAAACTGAATACATAATGTCATTTAAATCTATCTAAACAGTTACTACTTTTGATAGATGGTTTTTATCGTAAACAGATATCAGTCCAAGAAGGAATAAAAATTCAGGAAGTGATCAAAATTCAGATAGGCTCAATCTGAGTTTTTCGACAGTTTACATTTGATTAATCATTGAGTATTGAACAATACCATGTTTGTTTGGTCCTTTAGTATTGACTGAATGATATCTATTAAGCTGGAATGTAGTCACTTGTCTGAATGACTTGACATTCTATGCCCTAATAGCTCAGCGGCAACAGTTGACTGTGAACCAGAATGACGCATATACGAGTAAAACAATTCCGTCAAGATTTCACTTAAGCCTTACTGGAGTGTGCCAACTAGCACAAAATACAAATCAATATATCCCAACGACTATCTCCAATCACCCTAACGTTTACCAATTCTAAATTTATCTATATTAACATAAAACTATTACAAATAATTCATAGATGCTGTTGGTAATGTTCTATTGTACTACATAGAGATCGCTTCAGAATATATCCAGTATACTATAAGCACTGGTTCGTTTTTGATAGTTATTGATTACTCTCTATTAGGATATGTTCATCCTGTGAGTATTGTCTCAATGTTCTCATTTCATCATATCATTTCATTTTATTCGGTTAATAATATACCTGCTTAACAATCTAATAGCTGTTCGAGCTCAATAGCTTAAGGGATAATAAATCAATATTTGAAGTGAAAGCTATTGAATTAAATTCTCAAAGTAAAAATCAACAAACAGATGTATATACAGCTAAGTGACAAGTTATAATTAAGATGAAACACAACTCCTAAATTCTACTATTACTCACAATCAAACTATAATTTATTTGTTATGTTTTAGTAAAATTAATATTAAGCTTAAGTATATAATTGAAGGCGCGGATCGGCAAAGCAAGAGCAGCATATTTACAACTGAAGAACATCTGGAACTCAAAACAATTGGCAACCAACACCAAGGTCAGAATTTTCAATACAAATGTCAAGACAGTTCTACTGTATGGGGCGGGAACCTGGAGAACCACGAAAGACATCACCCAGAAGATACAAGTGTTTATTCACAGTTGTCTACGCAATATACTTTGGATCCGCGAACGCTTAACCCACTGAACCACAGAGCCGCTATCCAATGATGTTAATGTCTAACTTCAACCAACCCATGAAGTTGCGCGACCATCTTCCATTGTACTAAGGTAGACACCTGTTTCTACCCGATACGGATTAACTCCACTAGTCACGGCTTCTCACCGGAACTCTGAGAATTTTCTCACAAAGCTAGTCAGTATTGAGCACATGGTAATTATTAGTTTAGGGGGTGTCTGGAGATGGTCGCGCAACTTCGTGGATTGGTTGATGTTAGACACTAGCACCATTAGATGCCGGCCAGCTCAGTGGTCCAGTAGTTTAAGTGTTCGTGCGCGAGACTGAAGGCCCTGGGTTTGAATTCCACGAGCCGTCCAGTGCTTCCAGGTTTTCAATGGTGGTCTAACATCAATCAGTTAATGGTCTCAATAAAAAATTAACATTATCGGTTAATGTAATAACTTTCCATTTTCCTTATGCTGTGATAGATTTTTAAAAACATACAGATGTCCTTTATGTATATTCGTTTGTTCTTTTTTTAATTTGAAAACTACCATATAGTGGTTTATTACATTTTATATTGTAATTATCAATGTTTTAGTCTATTCTTATTTATTAAATAACTTCCTGTTTATATTTAAATTTAAGTGATACATTATATAATATTGAATATTATATATTTAATAATTAAAGGTAATTATAGTTAATTAGAGTAATAATTTTAAAAAATGCGGGACTATGTTGTGACTTTAAGCTCGGCTAGTTATCATGTAATTTATTCACCAATCAAAATACGACTTATTCTCTCTGTTGTATTGTATTAAGCCAATGACGTTCGATTGGTCTGATCAGCTGTTTACGAGCCTAGTCCATTCATCTGAGTTCAAAATACCGATAACAGTTTCCGTTATGAGAATCATTTATTTCAAATATACTTGGTTTATATATCAGCCAAACAAATCGCATCACAGCATAAAATAGGAAATAACGTTTATATGAAATAAAGCCAAAATATGGTTGTGAATGTGGGAGATAGTAATTAACAAACTGAACATAACATGAGAACAGTAAATCGTATAATAATAAATTATAAATCAAAATGAAGCTTATAATAGGGGAATATAAATATACATAATCTGATTACTGAACAGTTATATCATAAGAATATATAGATAATATTAGTCCACTAATAGGTCTCAGAAATTACTTGTAATTTAATCTTCGCTAGGATATAACATATTATACTATAATAACATAAAATGATTGTAATTAGTAGTTTGAAACAAATGAACTTTGACTCCAAAAAAAATACTCGAATGAGATTATGCTTTTTGAAAGAATGTTTAGATCTTTTAGAAAACAGAAATTAATAAATGGTTGTTTTGTTCTAGTCTATAGAACTTTTCAGTAGTAAACACATACACATACATACACATGAGACCTTACTTTGTGTCAAACCCAAATGCTTTTTAAGTTTTGCAATGAACATGATACCAATCAGTCAGTGATATTGGAAACTAAAAGTCTACACACTATTAACTTCAGTTATTTTACAAATATGTACTAATTTCATTCAATATTACTTATAAACTACAACGGTACTAGCATCGACTTGTGTAAACTTACAGATCATAATGTTCTATTAAAAATGCTGGGAACCCTTCTCAAAATACTAATCATATGCTCTCAGATTTCTACTAAATTTTCCAAATGATATCATTTCGTGATGAGAAACATCTACTAATTGAATTAACATCTAAAAGCATAACGGTTTAATAACCAATAGCTTTAATCAAATCTTCCATCATTCAAAATTCATAGATGATTACTAACGAGTGTGTATATTCAATCTAGTATAAATAGTATTTACATAATTGTTAACGTGAAATATACAATCATGAATCAATATAAGAGGTTACCAACGATTTTGTGAATAACATTAAATGGCTCACAATAAAAAGTAATTATGTTTAACAAAAAAAGAAATTATTTGCTAAGTAAAGCGACGACACAGAGTTTCATACAACAAAGGCTTCAGTGAAATGTATCGTTTATTTCTTAAAAAAATCCCGTATAACACTTTAAAGGTTATTAACAGGTTATTTATATGAATTACTTAATTAATTATGGATGGATGGTCACTATGGACTAGAATATATGACAAACGTTAGTAGCTATTGTAAACATCAAAGTCTTACAGGAGGCCAATGAATGCACAAACACTCCTATGTTAAAGTCTATAACTATGAGACTGGGTGATGATTGTTTGATTGGCATAGATTGGGAAGAGATGCTTCTGTACTCTGGTCATGAAGAAAAAAATACTCTGCACATTCAGAGAGTTGTTCTGATGTTGTCCACAGAAGCACGTAATGCACTTATAGGATAGGAATCTCATGGATCTAGAATCATCAAAACATCGTTCAGAACAAAGAAGGAGGGGATTACAATGAATGTTATTCTGTGTTATGCACCAAATAATAAAAACAATGAAGACAATAAAGATCAGATTTATGAAAGGCTAGAATCGATCATAGTGTAGTGATCAGGAAAGGGTCTGACTATCCTGATAGGAGACCTAAACGCTAAAGTCGGGATAGACAACACCGGTTATGAAGATATAGTGGAACGACATGGACTGAGAGAAGGAAACGAGAGTGGCACTGTATTCCTCAACAAAAGCATACACAAAGCTCGATGGGTCTCACCGGTTCACATTACAGAGAACCAGATAGATCATATATACATCAGTAAAAAATTCAGTAGGTCAACAAAAGACGAGAGAGAGGAACTAGCATAGCTTCAAATCATCACCTGGTTGTGCCTGAAATAAAACCAAAACTAAAGAAGTACTGAAAAACTAGGAGAGTGGCATTACAAAGATTTAATAGAGCCTTCCTTCGAGATGCTCACAAACTCAACGGATTCAGGATAACTCACAACAACAGGTTCCAAGCATTACATGATGTACCGGAAAAAGAGAAATATGCTATGGAGGACAGCTGGAGGAAAATCAAACAACAACTAACTTCAACGTATCAGGAGGTTCTGGGCCTCAAGGACCATCATTATAAGGAATGGATCTCCATCAAAACCCAGGGGAAGATTCAAGGAGGGAAGAATAAAATGAAAGCAACTAACAACGACCGAAAAAGGACAGAGAAAGTCAAGGCACAAGCCAAATACACTGAAACAAACAAATGAGTCAAAAAGAGCATTAGGGCAGACAAGCAGAAATACCTGAAAGACCCGTCAATGACAGCAGAAAATTCTGTAATAAGAAGAAGCACGAAACAACTATATGATACAAAGAAGAAATTAGCGGAGAATTATGGTAAACCAGAGATCATTCTTGAACAAAGAAGGTAAGCCAATCACTGAGATTCAAGAACAGAGGAACAGATGTGTGGAATACCTCAAGGAATTCTTCAATAGACCAACCACATAGAATCCACTGGATATCTAAGCAGCACATACAGACCTTCCTATAGATGTCACTCTCCTAACGATCGAAGAAATCAGGATGACCGTCAGACAAATCAAGTGCTGGAAAGTGGTTGGACCTGACAATATACTAACCAAAACACTGAATTCGGACATACAAGAAACTGCAAAAATATGTAGTGGCATTGGGCCCTAACCCCACAATCCTCAAAGTTGGACACGAAAAAACTGTGAAACTAGATGTTCAGCATTTAACGCGGAGAAAAACACAAGGATGGAGAAGGAGGGAAGAATAAATTCAATTAATTGATTAATCGGATG